TGACCGCTAAGGAAAATGTCCTCCTTCCTCTGCAAGTTAAAGGGAAAAGGTTTTAAGGTAGCCTAAGAAGAATTTGCATTGTAAGGGCGTGGTTTTACAAGCCGTATCTCCTCATTAAGCACCACAGTGATAAACAATATTCTTCGTAAGCTTATCTATTCACCAAGTAGGCGGAGATTTGGACGAATCCGCGGTATTGTCCCCATCGTATAGCTACCGTATCTTGACAATAAGCCGTGATTGTGACAAATAGATAGCTTTTTCATGACTAGCGTATGAAGTAATCACCCTGGGCGAAAAAAAAAACAGACGGAGTAGCGACCGTGACTTCTTAGCGTACAACTGCCGTATCTTTACAGTATGTCGCTACCGTAAGAATTGAATGGTTTTTTCATGATCAGCGTATCAGACAACTCTCCTAGGCGAATTCTTAGACAGATTCACGATATTGACCTCCTACCATGTGCCTACCGTATACTCCAGATGTTATTGTAGTGTGATATCGCTTTCCTCTTCAGAAAATATCATTTTGAAAGAAATTATGATGATACGACGCTTTGCGACAGATTATCCCGTCGCGACGGATTTTTATGTAAAATCACGTTTTTAGTTTCAAGTTATGAGCGGTATTGTATAATAACTAAAATTCAAGTTAAATGATATTATTTCGTTTTGAACATATCCTCTTTTCTAAGTTCTATCCCAATGAAAGATGAAGTAAGGAGGATGTCACACTTGTTATATTTAAGACGATAATGTTCCAGTGAACAATTTCGAGGGTATCGAAACCAGGAGAAAGAGTGGTCGCAATAATTTGGTGAAGGTCGAGAGTTAAAAATGAAACTTTGAAGGCCGTGCTGTCCCAACCAATCCCTTTATCGGGTGGTAATTTGGATGTGAAAAAAATTCAAAGAAAAGTTTTTTTACTTACAGCCAGTAATTGGCCATAACAATCTGCGTAGTAGACAACCATCCTCCTGGCTCATAATCTCATCTTCTCACGCAGTTTACGCTCTTATTCCTTCTCTGTAACTGTCATGCTCTTTCTGGTAAACATACTTACTTAGATACTTAGATGGCCTGTCTTCACTCGTTGTGCAGGCCCCAGCATTGTTTCCATCCTTTTCTGTCTCTCGCTAGCATCACTCACGTTATTAAGATTGAACTGTGGTGGCGACAGCGAGGTTCAATCCATTACTTGTTACCAGCGGATAATTCAGCTGGTCCATACGTGCAACGAACACGTCAGCGCATCTGGTCGGTGGTCTCTTTCGAGGACGTTTTGCTTCGCGAGGGATCCATTCCAGAGTTCTTAGTGTCCAT